AGAAGCAAGCGGCAGACACAATTGGAAGCCCACTAAAACATTCGGTCAAAAACGTAGAAGAGAAACAAGGGTCACAAACTATTCCAATTTCGCCAGGGGAAATTCCGTTATCATCAGAAGATACTACGTCACCATCACCGAGAAGGAAACTAAGGAGACCAACATTCTCGACTAGCAAATTGGAACAACTACAAGGAAAGAAAACTTAATCCCAAAAACTTTTAAACTCATTGACTGAATTTTGTTTATTGTGATCTTGTAAGAGAATTTCAAACGTTGTTGAAATTTTTTAGAGGGGGAAATGTGGTGGTAGTGAGTAGACCACCTAAGATAGAGGACGTTATAACTTATTATTATTATTAATGTTAGAGATCATTTGAATAACACTAATTAAAGACCTGTCAATCACGTTGATTGTTCTAACAACTTGATGGTGCTAAAGACTGAGACTCACTCTGTGTTAACTATTGAGAGATTATAGTTATCTTCTATTCTTTGATCCATACTTACTTATTAAACTTTACTATTAATTCAACTGTATTATTAGTCTAGTTTTCAGATAAGATTTAGGGATTATCACAGAAGAAAAAAAACCCACCCCGAGCACAAATATTCCGTTACTTTCGTATCGAAAGTCGGAACAATGATTATTTTTTTCGCAATAATAAATGTAATTTCGCAATAATAAATGTACTTTCGCAATCATCACAACCAAATTAAATTTCTAGCGATCAGTCGGTTCATTTTAATGTCTTATTTTTAATTTCGCTTTTAATCGCCAACATGTTTGACCTCGAAACTTTCCGAAATCTGAACGACGAATTGAAATACGAGCTGTATAAAGACTTAGTCGAAAATGTTACTTATTTTAAACGAATTATCGAAAACTTAACTGTATCAACGAAAGAGGAAGAAAGAGGAAACAAATTTTTTGATCTAGAAAATTTTAAAAACACGGGCAATTCGAAAATTACAGAAAACAAATTTGAAAACGAATGGAGCAAGATTGGAACTCGGAGCAGAAATCAGAACAAACGAAGCGAAAATAACCAAGAAAGCAAGAATAACCAAGAAATCAAAATACAAGCAACCAATATTCAAGAAGAAAAATTCGACCAGCAACGAAAACATTTATTTTTACCACGAGAAGGAGAATATTCTGGCCTATTACTGGGAGACTCAATTGTTAACAGAATCAATGGGGAACAAATATCGGAAAATGTGTTGGCGAGAGGATTTGGTGGGCACAAAATTTCTGCATTGCTGGAACGCGTGAGAAACAGTAAATCGCGACATTTTAAACATGTAACTACGCTAATTGGAATAAATGACTGCCTCTCAAGCGGAGAGCTACCACACTGACTCATCTTTTCCTTTTCGCGTTGTTACTGACCCAAAGTGGGGATGTTGAAAAAAACCCTGGTCCTATCGAAACCATTGAAACAGTCTACGGTATCTGCTCAAAAAATTGTGCAAATCTTAAATTTGTTCATTTGAATTTTCAAAGTATTATTAGAAAACGGATGCAATTGAAAAAATTTCTTGATGATATGGGCGAAAACACAATTATAGGAATTTCCGAAACGTGGCTTAAAAAAGAAGATAGTGACAATTTATGGAATTTCCAACCTAGAACGCATGCGATGTTCAGATATGATAGGCAATCAGCGGTAAAAAAGAAAGGCGGTGGCGTTTTGTTATATATACCAGTCAAATTGGCTCCGAAATTGAGGCCTGATCTAAATTTATTTGATAAAGAAAAATATGAGTCAGTGTGGGTTGAGTGCAAATCTACATTTAACATTTCGAGTAAAGAAAAAATGTTAGTTAATTTGTGTTATAACCCAAGCAGATCAAACTTTATTGATTTTTTGGAACAATTAACGCTTAACATAGATAATGCTTTTTCAGTTTCTAATAAAATTACGCTTTTGGGTGATTATAACATAAATTATCTGGATAGCAAAGAAAAAGAAAATTTAGATTCTATAATTATTCCATATGGATTGAAGGTTTTTTGTCCAAACGATGAGACCAGAATTAGTTCCTCAACAAAAACTCATATCGACTACATAATCAGTGACTATGAAACAAACGGCATTGAGTTTTGTTTTGATACACCTTATAAAACCGACCATTTTGCTTCATTTATTTTGACGGATATAAAATGCGGCAAAATTTTACCGAGGATAATTACGACTTTCAATAAGAAAAATTATCAGAAAAATGAATTTTGCAATTCACTCTCCGCTCTTCCTTGGTATCTCTTATATCAATGTACAGACGCACAAAACATGTTCTCGACGATGATTTATTTAATTTCTTGTGCTCTACAGCAACATGCTCCTATCGAAAAAAAATTTGTTCGTAATTTTAAACCAAAAAACGTGTTGAAAACGGAATGGTTCGATTCAGAATGTCAGCAATTGTTGACTAAGAAACAGAATTCACTCAGATCATATCGCAGTCAAAGCACAAGCGATAATTGGTCAAAGTACCAGTTTTTACGTAATCAAATGAGCAAATTGATTAGAAGTAAACAATTCGATCATTCAAAAAATTGTTTTTCACTTCTCAGCACTATCCAACAAAAATGGAAATATATTAACCAAGTTAGAGGTACATGTTCTGGCAACCATCGAATTACAGTTCTACGAAATTCCTTCAGTGAAATGATAACCCAAGACAAAAAAATTGCCAATCATTTAAATTATATTTTTTCAAACTTAGGCGAATTTTTCGGCGCTAAAAAGCCTCCGAATTACAACAAATCTGCCTCTGAATCTGCATCTTTTCATTTTCAACACATTACAGTGAAGCAATGCTTTGATATAGTTCGAAAAATCAATGTTGGAAAACCTCTCGGACCTTGTACCGTACCTGCTTGGGCAATCATTGACGGTCAATCAGTTATAGTTCCACATTTAACTTTTGTCATAAATACTTGCTTAGATGAGAACATTTTCCCGATCGAACTGAAAAAAGCAAACGTAACCCCTTTGTTCAAAAAAGATGACCCAATGGATGCAAAAAATTATCGGCCAATATCAATAACTTGTGCTTTTTCTAAAATTTTTGAAAAAATTTTACATGCCCAAATAACAGAACATCTTGACAAATTTCAAATAATGACACCATTTCAATTCGGATTTCGCAAAAACATTTCAACACAAGATGCTCTTGTTTATGTGACAGAAAGTATTCGAAATCAAATAGATTCAAAAAAAATCGTACATGCAGCTTTATTAGATCTGTCCAAGGCTTTTGATTCTATTTCGCATGAAGTTTTAATTGAAAAAATGCTTTCTCTCGGTTTTTCAAATGGAGCAAATGCTTTAATTGCTAGCTTCCTAAACAAACGTATTCAAAGAGTAAACGTCAATGGAATTTTTTCAGACTGGATTGAAATAAAACGAGGTGTCCCACAAGGAACGGTACTTGGTCCGTTGTTGTTCAATATTTATGTTAATGACATACAAGAGCGATTATATGAGGGTTGTACTTTAGTTCAATATGCTGACGACTGTATGGTTTTTTCCTCTTCTATAATTTCTGAGGATGCTTTGAATCGATTGCAAAAATCACTCAATAATCTAACGGAATTTTTTGCAGAGAACCAATTGAATCTGAATGCATCTAAATCGGAATTTATAACATTTTGTCAAAAAAATGATAGCAAAAATGTGGATACTGATAAACTAGTAATTAGTGGGCATTATGTAGCCAAAAAATCAGAATGCAAATATTTAGGCATAATTCTTGATTCAAGTTTATCTTTTCATGCTCAAATCAAAACAATTCTCCAAAAAATGGCCCAAGGGATTAAAACTATTGATACAATTGGACAACAACTGCCGACATTATCATTAGTTGCCTTGCTTCATTGTCTTGTTTTATCACATTTAGATTATTCAGCAATTTTTTTACAACAAATTAATGCTACTTTGATGCTATCTCTGGAGAAACAGTTGAACTGGGCGCTAAAAAGAACATATTTCAGATCGAATTTTAAATCTTCTTCCCTTCTTCGCATTAGCAAATCGTTCATTGGAATCGAGAAAAGAATTGAGTTAAAGTGTATAACATACTTATACCAATATCTTACAAACAAAAAGAAGGCTTTTGAAAATACACTGAGACTACCGACTGCCAATTATAGGCTCAACGAAAGAACGAAACAAATTATTTTTGACAAACATTGTTCGACTGCTTCTCTACAAAAATCATTTTTTCATTTGACTTCTAAAAAATGGAATTCACTGCCCATAATTTTGCGCAATTTAGAAAAATCGAAAACAGAATTCAAGAAAAAATTGAAAGAATTTTACGTGAGTGAATTGAGAAACAATCCTATATGTACTAATACAAATACGTGGCGTGATTACCGTTTTTGCTAGTTCTATATTTTTTAATTCAGTTTAATTTTTCACACATTGCTTGAAAGAGAAACTGTATATACTCTGCATATACGTTGTATAATTGGACTATCTGTAAAATTGTTTGTAAAGTTTTATTACCAGCTTGTTCCTAATTCTTAAATCTTTAATTTTCTATAGTATCCGAAACTTCATATACTTTAATCAACCAATTTCCGAACTGTAACCGATTTTGTTTTTTTTTGTTTTGTTTATTGCTTGTTTTCTGATGTTTTGTTTTTGTTTGATGTAACCAATGAATTTATAACCAATTTTATTATTTACACTTTGCTACACTGATGCCTCGGCTTTTTATTGTATAGTAATTCAAGTGTTCTTTCTTCTTCTTCATGTATTCTCTTTGAAAATTTTAAAGCAAAGTTATGACTTCATAGCGCGAATAAAAAAACTCGCTTAGCTCCAAAGAAGCTTACAAAACTTAGTTTGGATTAAATTGCCAACACGAAAAATTTGAAACGATTTTCTAGGTTTCGGATATCGTTGAGCTAATGCTCCTTGCCTCTAAACTTGGATATACGTTGAAAAAACATAAGTCGATGTCTCTTATATTGGAAAATTGCTTAGGGCATCGAGGTAATCAGAGTAGCCCAGGCGTTTATCTGGACCCCTGACTTGCTTCCTTACAACGACATTGGAGTGTATGACTCGATCAAGTATGCCAAGACTGTTCCTCTCTCTGTCACCCACGCTGGCTCTGTCACCTGGCTCAACCCCATAGGACCCATTATACTCAAGCACACACTGATGAAAATTGTTTTAATGTTCTTTTTTCTTTAAGATACTCCGGCTATATATTTCCTGCTGGACTTTGGTTAAATCCGAGCAGAAAAAATATCTAATATCGTTAAAAAGAGTGTAAAGATTGTTTGAAGTGAGGGCAAACAAAAACATAAGATTTTTTGGAGAGCTGGTTTTTTTATGATCAAAAAATGTGCTGTAAGGATGACCTTGCAAACTTTTGTTTATCAAATGAGGTTTTATCAGCGTGCGTTTGAACACAACTTTAATGGTCCTTTAGATAACCATATAGGGTCGATTTCCAAGAGAGTGGTAACCGAAACTCCTCTTCTAAGTTCACTTTCGCAAAACATATCTGACCGTCAGCTCTTGGGAACAAGTTCATCACCCTTCCTTCCCCTTACCCGCCAAAATTGGGTCCGATTGATGAAATTTGAATTGTGAAAATGAAACTATATTAAAGTCAGATTTGTTTGCTTGATAATAACACCTCCACATGCAGCTCTGGAGACTACATGTACGATGGATGTGACCAACTTCCCGTTCGACAAACAGGAGTGCAAAATTGACATCGGCTCTTGGCAGTACAAGGCCACCGAGATTGACATCTTCTGCAGCAGCCCCACCTTCGACACCTCATCCTACGCGGACCACACCCAGTGGAAACTGTTGGGTTAGTTGCAGTGCTCACTGGCAATCTTCAGTCGAACATATAGCTTCCACGCGAAAAAACTATAGTCACGATCAATGGGAGGTGTGGCGGATTTAGGGTGGAGGGGGGGGGGGGCAGACTCGCTTTTCTAAGGAATTTGAGCCTACCAAATACCATATGCTCCTCTCAAGAAGTTCCGAGACATGCCCCTAGTCACGATCGAGAAAACAATACTTTTTGCTGAGCTTGACATGAAGTAACGGGCCTTTGATATTAAAAGGGACAATTGCTAATGCTGCCATTTTCATTAAGGAGTGCTAAAAATTTGAAATTCGTCTACATATACATGATGGTCGAAAAGATAGACTAAATCTAATCTTTCAAAAACACCTTATAGCCTTGAAAATTTTGGCTGGAAAAGAAATATTTCAAACATAAAACTCCACATTTTTGAAGATATTCTGCCTTTCTAGTCAGTCTATGAGAACGACAGGGGAAAAAATTGAAATTAACTATCTAATATTTTTCACTTTTGCGTGAAATCCAGAGAGTCTCCATCAAATGTTGGTGGTTTACCCACAGTCAACTGAAAATCTCGCAAGCGTTAAGCTTCCGATATTCACTCATCTGTAAAGCATTAACTTAATGTTTCAACAAACTTTTTTCGTTTCTGTTATTTGTAATGCACTTTCAATAGTCTACTCAGTGCAAACTTACCTCCCCTAATTAAGACAATGTAGCGTTACTACAAGCAATTCATGAACCACCTACACAGTACAGTTTCAAGAAGTCCCCCTTGCCTATTTTTTACCACAACTACTTGTCTCAGACAGACCAACACTACAAGTTTTCTAACAGCGCATAAGCACAAAAAGAGACTAAGGCGCGCGAAAAACCCTTTTCAATTAAAATAGTTTTAAAGACAACAGAGCAGTTATATAGAGAAGCCAAGATGGCTTTTTTTTTGGATTTAGATACATCTTGTGAGCGATCAGAGAGTGTGTACTCCACTGGGAAGTTCAGCTCCCTCCGATTCACTATCAACTATGGCCGCATGAACTCATTCTACATCCGAAACATCATCCTCCCCAACTCAGTCCTTCTAGCCCTCAGCAGCCTCACCTTTTTCATCCCCAACAACCTCGGAGAACGAGTCGGGTTCGGAGTCACTGTCACCTTGGCACTCTGCGTGAACTTAATCATCGTGATCGATTTTGTCCCGGAAACCTCAAAGACTATTCCCAATATCTGCAACTACTTTCTAGTCAGCATTTTCCTGTCCGGTTTCTCAATTCTACTTGCGACTATGTCTATAAATGTGAGTTTTTGGATCCAGCATCTGAACCCGACAGTTGCGGAGAACTTCAGAAAAATATTTCCTGGCGGTTCCTCAGTGGTGACTATGAATACAAAACTGCCAGATGACGTCACGAGTCTATCGGAGCCGTCTGGGAGACGGGATTCAACTGCAACCTCAGTTCTCCATCCGGAGAAGAAACGAGAAAAGTACGAGGATTTTATGCAACAAGCATTCGAAAACAAGAAAAAGCGACTGGAGAACGTTGTGAGAATTTTCGACGGCGTAGTTGGCTCGGCTTACTTGCTTGCGACTACTTTGTACAGCGTGATGTTTATTGTAGTTAAACAGTGAACATATTTGAACAAACTGTGTAAAAAACTCCAAAGCATGATAACCTAAGCATGATAACCTAAAAACAGTTTTAACTAACTATCTTTAGGGCATGCTCCCATTCCACTAAATGAATACTCCTTTCTACTCTACATGTTTGCCCCCTGTTAAATAACTTTCAGCTCTGAGTAATTTTGATTTTTTAAAACAAATAAGCATGTTTACTTGATATAATTAAAATTAATTCGTACCGATTTTATCACCAGGTTTTCATGTCTTGTCGAAAATGGTGTGAACTATTTTGATGAATAATCTTAAAGAAATTTTTCAATAATTTTCAGAGACGCAGAAAAAAAAACCCTGGCACATGAAGTTTCGTCCATTACTAGCAACGGGGTCGAATCTAGCGGGCACTTTCTCAAAAGTACAAACAAATGGTTAAGCGGTAATTCATATTAAAATTGAGAAAGAGACTAGTCGTACAAGGCAATTTTTGGTATTAAGCGACAAGTTGTAACGCCGTTCTCTTTGAGATGGAATAATTAGAAAAAAAAACAGAAGTTAAATTGACATCAAAAACAAATATTAAATTGTCTTAGAAATCTAAGTTAAATCAAATCTCTCAAAATATTGATTCGGTTGTTTTGATAAAATTTCGAGACAATCGAGATGGGTTTTCTCGTAGTTTACTGTTTTGGTGGCTTTTCTCCATAACCCGAATGTTATCCGTTTGAGCAGGGGCGTATCTAGGATTTTCTCGAGAGGGGGGGGGCGTTGTTTTTTTTTAGGTCGACCAAATAGATTTTTTGAGCTCTACCAAAGCATTGTTTATTGTTTTGCCCCTTTTATGACAAAATTTTCTGCGCCGCAGGCAAAATTTTGAAAAAAAAACAGCCAAAAAGCCGTTTTTTGGCACTTATTGAAAAAAATTGACAAAAAAATCGCGTTTTTTTGGCGCGCGCTCCCCCTCAAAGTTAGTATTTATTGGCGCCCAAGGCGCCTTTAGAAAAATTTTAGGGTCGGTCGGCCAAAAATGAATTTCTTAAAAAGTATCAAAGGGGGACCCTTTTGGTCGGCAGGGGGTCGAATTCCTGAAAGAAAAGCGTCCGCCCCCCCCCCCCCCCCCCCCCCCCAAATCCGCCCCTGCGTTTGAGCATGTTTTCGTTTTAGTTTTTTTTACTTTGGTCGCATTTTTCTGATTAAATTTGTGACTCGTCGGGAGTTCACATCCCATTATTTTTCGGATAGCCAATTCACACCTTCTACGGAGTTGTTTGTTTGGTTTTTGATTCTGGTCCAAGGTCTTTCAAACTGGTTCCACAGCTTTGGAGGAGAAGTGGCTTCATGCCTCTGCGTTGCTCGGGTCTTCAGGGCAATTCAATTTTTCTTGCAATATTTGAAACAGGGAACAGTCAGAAAATCTTCATCTGTTTGGTCAATTAGGCTTTTGAACTCCAATTCCAAATCGCCATCTGATATATAAGGACGAGCACATTTAAAAGTTTCACTATGATTTAGTTTTCATTGGTCTTATATCTGGCTACTCCAAGCGGTTGACTTTCTCTCAAGTTGCTCATACAAAACGAAAAAACAGCCTCTCAAGAGAGTAAGTGGAAAAACGGCGACAAAAAAGCTATTGATACTGTGTGATGGTTATCCATAGCATGTAATTTAAACATTTGTTAAAACAATGAAGGACATATCTTAAAGGTTCCATTAGCATGCCGAGATGTATTTCGCTCCAACACATCTAATCTGCCTTCTGCAGAGGAAATAAACAAGACTGCTCGTATCAGGGCTAAGCCCTGAATGTTCCGACTGCCCTTTAAGGTTTATGGAGCAGTAATAACATTAAAAAATTCAATAAAATAAAATAAAATGAAAAAAAAATTTTTTCTAAAATTTAAAAATTTTTTTAATGAAAATCATCCCCCCACACGCCATATAAAGTACAAAAGGATAGATTTCGCTCCTTGTAACAAACCAATTATGGCAAACAAGCTTCTTTTAACCAATTTGGAACGATTTCTAAGGCTGATTAACTCTCCGCTTACGCGGTAATAGCGCAAAATATATCGCGCGTTAATTGTCCCAAATTGGCCAAAATGGCAATCTTTAAACCCCCGTAACTTTACGAAAAATGATCACAGGTGAAATATCTTTTCAAATTTGAGCTCAGGACAACAATACCTTTCGAATGATATAAAAAAAATTCCGTCAAAAATGGCTAGTTAAAAAGTCGAAATTTGTCTGAAGAAAAAAAAACCCACCCTGAGCACAAATATTCCGTTACTTTCGTATCGAAAGTCGGAACAATAATATGTTGCCATCCCCGAATCATGAACAGAGGTTGCTAGCTGAGAATTAAGAGCAATTTAATTAAAATGTGGCAGAAACTGAATTGATAAATCATTTCTGCTGACGATTCTCGCCAGTTATTTATATTTTAGTAGTTTGGCTACTGCCTTGAATGAACCATCTCTCATAAGCTCCGAGTAAATTTTTTTCTCTTTACTATCACGTTTGACTCCAGAACGGTTTGGCTCTAAACTTTCCAAGGCTACAGATCGTGATTAAAGCAAAAAAGCCACCAAAGCAAAAAAGCTAACGATATAGGTTAGAAAAAAGAAGCTTCGTACTAATACACTAACGCTCGCAAGCTGGCAAGTGTAATCACCCACATACGCAATTAATTGTTCGCAACTGTCGCATGTTGCGTGTTAAGAATCGTCGCCTGTTACAAATTGTGGTCTCATGCAGGGAATTTAGAAGGGAAAGAGTTTTGAGTCGATGAGCAGGTGTTTTATATCTTCTGTATATAAATAACATGATCGTTTCATTTGCTTTTCAATTTTCTCAACGCCTACTAATGCGCAATTTTTGCTTGAGATCATGCCTATTACGAGTTTAAAATGTTTTGTAGTTGTAATAAAAATTTCACATACACACTTGATCGTATGACTCGTATGAATAGTTTTAATAACTCTCTTTTATCAGATATATCTCAGCATAGAATAAATAACCTTCTCAAGCAGACCGTCGTTTTAGTCCCCTTAATCGATCTTGAGCTCTTTATTTTCGAGTAAGTAATTGTTCATGGAGCAACAGCTTCCCTTCTCTTGCGTAACGCGCTGGATGATCGAGAAGAATACAGAAGAATTTGACTACTTGGCCCCGCTTAAAAATGCTTCCATCGATATCGAATTTAAGAGAAACCTGGGGGGCACTTAGTTCTTTTTTATACGCCCATGACAATGTTTTGGTCGCTTCAGATTCAAGCTACCCTACCTGGTTGCTTTCTTTTCTTACTGCCGAGTAAACTTTTAGTGGCGCCCAGCAGCTACCCAAAACTCTTCAGGTCAAAATGTGGAGATAAAAGTCGAGGAGGCTATTGGGGCTTTTACTTCTTAAACCTAATTTTTTTTAAACAAAATTGAGAAACTAAATTTTCAGAACGTAAATTTTGTGCTGCCATTTCGTAACAGCATTTCGTAATACTTGAAAAACCAAATTTCATATAAAAAACGTTACTCAATCGCTTATCTCGCTCGAAATTAGATTAAGAACTAAGACTAAACAAGACTGCTCGTATCAGGGCGAAGCCCTGAATGTTCAGACTGCCTTTTAAGGTTTATGGAGCAGTAATAACATTTAAAAATTCAATGAAATAAAACAAGAATCAAAAAAAAAAAAGAATATGTTATGAAAATCATCCCCCCACACGCCATACAAAGTACAAAAGGATAGATTTCGCTCCTTGTAACAAACCAATTATGGCACAAGCTTCTTTTAACCAACTTGGAACGATTTCTAAGACGGATTAACTCTCCGCTTACGCGTTAATAGCGCGAAATATATCGCGCGTTAATTGTCCCAAATTGGCCAAAATGGCAATCTTTAAACCCTCGGAACTTTACGAAAAATGATCACAGGTGAAATATCTTTTCAAATTTGAGCTCAGGACAACAATACCTTTCGAATGATGTTAAAAAATCCGTCAAAAATGGCTAGTTAAAAAGTCGAAATTTGTCTGAAGAAAAAAAAAACCCACCCCGAGCACAAATATTCCGTTACTTTCGTATCGAAAGTCGGAACAAAAAATTCCAACCGTTTTTTCTCAATACTGGGACAACCTTTGAAAGTTTTTTAAAGTCGTTCGACTCACTGCTGACAGAATTTAAATGTGATATATGACGCGAACCATTCCGATCATTAATCGTGGTACCTGGGTGGATTTTTGGTGGAAAAACTATCAATGGTCGACGCAAATACTAGAGAAGCAAGATTTTAAAATGTTTTGTGCAAAAAAAGAAGATTTGAATGTCAGTGGACCGCTTTTGAATTGTGAACTATTACTGCTAAATTAAATTGAGAAAAGCCCCAACATTCACTTCTTAAAATATATAGCATTAAAACGCACTACACATCGTGAATCAAACTCAGACACAGCAGTTTTAAATGCGGATGTGACTGTTCTACTCTCATTATAAGTCCTAGGTAAACCTGGTCATCTACGCCAGTTGGAAGATCCCTCCACTTGGTCGTTATGGGTTCGAGTAAAAAAAGATGTATTTCAAAGTCTATTGTTCAGATATAAAGATCGACACTGAATACACGCCAAGCATGCACCGACTGCATGTTCGCAGGTGCCGGGAAGATCACTTAACTTACTTGGCTTTCAAGGCTGAACATAAATAACTTAAGGTGAGTTTACAAATAATAAAAACAACAGTTAATTTGTAAATCCGGATGGACAACACTCCCGCGGCTAACTCGAAAAGAAAAAAAGTTTTTCATTGTTTTATCAAGGATTTATATGACCTTTTGCTGCACTTTTTTCTTCTTGATTTTTGTTGTTGTCGTTTTCGTCATTCACCACTCCTCTGTTCGTATTGGGTTGTTTCTCCACCCCCTCGACTACTTTCCAGATGAAACTTTGATGACCTCTCATTCGTCATTTTCTGAAGGTTTGGTTCCTAACGTCTGTAGAAATTCGAGACAAGCTTTAACATCTGCTAGATCCGCGGGGCCATCCGTGATTGTAATTGCATCGACTAAATCTTTGGGTGATGGTGTTTCCCGGCTGGGCGACGGTTGAGGGGTTTGTTTCATTCACACCTTCTGGACGTTTATGATCGGCGTTGGGTTTCCGATTCTGTTCGTGAGATCCTTGTTCGTAATAAGTTCCTCCCATCTGCACTCCAGCTGGT